GTGCATATTCATCTCTGATCTGCTTGGGAGTTCTACTATTAGCCTCCATCCACGACTGCAGAAGCACCCTGAGAAAGGTTGTGGCAGTTATGTCAGTTCTAACCACAGGCCAGGTACGGGCGGGGCACTACACGTGTGATCTCCACTGTGCACCACAGCGAAGCCTTCCATGACCGTCCCATCAATGGACACTAAAAGTAGCTTTAAAACACAGGATGGGATTTGAACCCAGTGAGGACTCAGACCCCTCCTCTCAACCACTGTCAATACAAATACAAAGTAAATGTGACTTTGAGGTGTTAAGCAATCAAATGATTAAAATATTCTTAGCATTTAAGATATAATTAACCACAGTATTCTGCCAACACCCAAGCACAGCCTGAGAATCTTTGTAAAAGGGCAGCAGAGAGTCACCTAGTATTTCTAAAAGTGGACTTTTGGACATCTGGTCCCTGATCCAAGAACCAATGCACCCCATGCCCATGAAGGTTTACGAGAACACAGACTTATGTCCCTCCACGCATATTACCTGCACAACAGCTCTGAAGGATCCCATTGCATCATCTGTGGTTACCCCTTTGTATGCAACTTTATTCTGTCCAGCATTTCACTTACTTGAGCTTCCTGAGCAACACCCTGAAAATGCACAGCGCCTGTTCAGGAATCAAGAACATTTGGGCGAGCCATCTGATGAAAGCCCTGGACTCAATATTCCCAGGCAAGTACAATCAGATTATAAAACATCAATGTCAGATCAAATACAGAGGTAATATTCAGACTGGTTTTAAATGGAGATGCCATTTAAAATGTTCCTATAGAAAAAATTATAAAAACTCTCCACTACAAATAAATAACAATGGAGATAATAATTTTGGGAAAATGTTTTCAATAATTAAGACAATGGATTTACAACAGGCACAATGTACATGAATGTTAGTAAGAGGTATGTTAAGGCCCCAAAAGATAAAGCAAAGGGTCTGATAAGCAATTTGCAGGAAATGTATTTTCAATTCCCCAAAACATGTTTTAGTTATTAGTGTTTATGTAGTGAGGCTGAAGAGAAACTGTCAAACTGAAGCAAGAAGATGGAGGGTTCCAGAAAAAAAAGCAAAGAAAAGTGCAACTGATAGGTTGCTTGATATATGTGACTCAGTGGGTTATTGAGTCAAGAGGAGTTTTAGCTTAGTCTCAGAGTTGGGAAGACAAATGTAATAGGCACAGGGCACATTGGAAAACAAAACAAAACAAAACAAAACACCACCACCACAAACCAGAACAAGAGTTTACTCTGGGGAAAAATAACAAGGGGGGCAAAAAATGTAGCTACATTATATACCTCACTTTAGAAGTAAACATCATCACAATAAAGTAAACACTAAGTAGACCCTAACCCCTATTCTAGAATGATTATCCTGGGTGGTGGGCAGTTTAAGAAAGGCAGGGGCTCATTTCTCAGAGTAGAAGTCAGCAGACATGGTGTATAACAGAGCCAAACAAAAGCAAATGAGCATATTATAAAAAATAAGGGGGAGAAATATTAATAAAAATAAAAAAGATTGCTTTGGGTGAGCAGTACTACAGGATAGGAAAGTATTATCATCAATTAAAATTAAATAAAAAGAAAAATTAACTCTGGTCATACCAAAGCATTTCCATGACAACTTAACAGAAATGGATGGACTTATTAAATTAAATCAATCAAACTGGCCACGACAGAATGAAAACTTATCAATTAAGACAAACAGATGGAGTGAGAAAGCTGAATGTCACATGTTGGACATTCCAATGCTCTTTGTAGCCACTCGGAGTCTAACTAAACAAACCAATGTTCAGGCCTTTCTTGAACAGCTGCGGACTTCAGGGTCTCTTCCATCCCCTACATTCCACCAGTGACTGCCTCCAGGCCTGGTCCCACTGACCCTGACACCAGCCTGCACTCCTGGCAGACCCTGCTGCCTGCTCAGCCTCAGCTCAAACTAGGACCTCTCCCACGTAGCACACCAGTCTGAAAGCCCAGCACCCTCTGGCATCCGCACTCCCCTCCAGTGCTCCAGCACAGCAGTGAGGGCTACTGTTACCAGCTTAAGGAGCAAGAACTCCAGTTTCAGAGCTAGGTTCCCCCAAGACAGAGGATGCTGTTCCCCCAGATACTGAGTACCATAAAGTTTTCAGTGCACCCTCCTTGTCATCAAGGCATCACCAATATTCTAGATCGTTCCTACCTTCCTCCTCTCATCATCAGCCTTTGGTAGCCTCCAAAAACAAATATATGGTTTCTCCAAGAAATAAAAGAATCAAGAAAAGAGTAATTTTTGATTTGTTAAGTCTGCTGCAACAGAAACTAAATGTTCTTTCTACCGGTACCTATTACCTTGGCTGAATGTGATTATACTTAAGATTCCAATTCAAACACCTTTCAAGATTCATAGGGCAAAAGTTACATAATTAATCATAAGGGCAAATAAATTCAAATTGATACAAGATATTTTTTGTCAGACAAAGTTGTAAGCTAATAAAAATTTTTCTTAATATAATATTAAATATATTATTTCTTAATAATGTAATATTAAAATGAATAAACTTTTTCATTAAAATTTAATCAGCTAGTTTTATTTTAAAAATCTTCCTACAATTCCTCAGTTAAAAAAATCTTTTTTCCAAGTGAAAAGAAACCAACCTGTTCAAATCAAAGTAGAAAATAAGATGATAAGACATGTCAAGGAGTTTAATGCTAATCTCCTTTTAAAACTCTACCTTTGATTTTAATTGCTCTTAAAAAAATAAAATTGGTAGACATTTAAGAAAATTCTCCCCAAAGGCCTGAATTCCTAATTTTTCCCTCCACTCATTTACAGCTAAACCATTCCAAAAGTGGAAGAAAATGTTAAAATTTGCAAAACAGGAAAGAAGAGGTAAATTAGGGTATAGTTAGAAAAAAATCCACTATAGTTAAAGTTGAAAAGGCAAAAATTAGCTCAGACTTTAAAAAGTGCCCTGCCATTCCTTAGGTACAGATGACAGACAGAATCAACTGCACAGTGAATAGAAGACAATATTTCTTCCCAGGGCATACTACAGCTGGAAATGATGACAATACCCTTTCCCTGAGTAACTACTGTATTTTGCTCTACAGTCCTGGACTATCAGAAATTTTGCTGTTCAAAAGTACATCGGTAAGGATAAAACATCCTATTTTCACTTGCAGGATTCGTGTTTTGATGGTTATAAAAAATTCAGTGAAGTCCTGCTATTTCAGACTCTTTGAAAAGGGTACACTGCCCATGTAATTACTGGAAAGTGAGTTATTGGGCAGTAGAAAAACAATTTGCTTTCAAAATCAAACAGTAGCTTGAGGGAGTCTAATACAGATTCAATCCTTCAGCCCAACTCCAAAGAGCTCTGAAAAACAAGTTTTTTAGTAATTTTAGGAAACTTCTTTTAGTGACCACACCTGCCCTAAACTGACACATAGTTTTATTATTCTACCTCGAGAGATTATTCACAGTATAGGCACAGAAACAATTGTGTGGAGTTATAGGACGCTGTTTTGGAGTGCTAGGTGTCACTATGCACGTGTACCTTTCTAAATTCTGAGAAATGTCTTTTTCAATGATGAAAATCAGATTCTAACTTTGAATTTTAAATTCTGAAAAACCTCTAATTCCAAAACATATCTGAGCACAAAGGTCTTGAATAATGATTATGAACATGCAGCGTGCTGCCTAAGTGATGTCCTACTAAGAAGTCTTTGGTTTTAAAACAGAGAAATCAGACCTGTACTAATATTAACTATGAGCCTAAGGAAGGCTAAGGCATTATTTCTTAAATACAAACCTAGCAACAAAATGATCTCCCTGCCACTTGCATCCCTCAGAAAAGGCAACACCTAAAATTAGGTAATGTTTTTATCCTAGCTTAAAACATTCAAAATCATTTTAGTTAAGACTATTCATATAAGCCTACATATCCAGGCACTACAAACTTACAGAATACAAATCAGTTTCTATTTTACTACAAAATTTTTCTAAGCACATCAAAAGAATGATGATTGAACAAAATGATTTGATAAAATAATTTGAACAGATTCTTCACTTAAAACACCTAATACTTTACAAGTATTTAATTCTTTTAGTTCAAATACAAATATATCCATGCACGAGGGGCAGGGGACGAGTGGGGCATTCATGAATTTAATTGCACTTTATAGAAATGCTACCTGTGTAATACCATAAATATGTTCTCACCAAAACAAAGAAAGCAGACAGTGGAGTTAATTCCATTTCTTCCAGAAAATTACCGTCATTACGTGATTAATTTTTTTTTGAAAATTCAAATGTCTTACAACTTCAACTCTCGACTAAATGCTGAAATGTTCCTGCCAACAGTTTTACTGGGGTTCAGTGAAATCTTGGGCGAGTGAAGCCAACTCATTAAAATAATCTCTAAGGCTGTTTTCAACGTACAAATATTTAACCTCTAAATTCTCCAATAACTGTCTTCTGTTCTTGAACATTCAAACACACAAAGAAATTACTCAAATTTCCATTTTACTATATAAAACTTTACTGCTCTGCAAATCACTCACTGGCCAAATAAGCTACTTTTTCATGAAACTATTCCGAAGGAGTAAATCATTTTAAATTTGAGTAGTAGTTACGAAAGTTTCCTGTGTTTTACACAACTGCTCTCCCTTTGTGTCGTATAAGAAACATGGCTTATATAAAACTTCTGCAGGTACACTGAGCCACAACAAGCACTGTGGAATTTTCCAGACCATTCATGTAACTGGCCAAACGAAATGCGTTCTTTCGGACACCCAGTTTCTCCGTGCCACGGATTCCCGCTAGCGTTTCCCAGCACAGCCCGCTTCCGCACGGTCCGCGCCGCGGCGGCACCAGGAGCCCCGGGTCCCGCACAGTCCCCTGGCCCAGGCCTGGCTCCCAGTACAGAAGCCGGACCTGAGAGGATCTAGGTTTAGGAGAAAAGCGGGCACCACTTACCGATATCAATTTCCCCTCCTTTTTCAAAGGACAAGGGCTCCGAGTGTGCCGCCAATGCGCCCGGACACCCAGAAACCCGCCGAGGGGACGCACGGCCGCATCCCAGCCTCCGCCGCCTTCCCCAGCCCCAGGGAGCCCGAGATTCCGCGTCCCCGCGGCCCCGGGGTGAGAGCACGCGCCACACCTACCAGCGCAGGTGAGCCAAGGGCGGGGCGGCACGGGGTCGAAGCTCAAGGAGCTGAGGCGAAGGACGGGGCGCTGGGCGGGCGCGTTCGTGGGGCTCCCTGGGAGCAGTGTGAGGCCCGGGGCTCCCGCTCGCTCCTCCCGCCGCCAGACTCCTCACCCGCCGAGCGCACGGGGCTTCCTCATTTTGGGCAACTTCCTCAACGTGCCGGGACAGACTCCGCACTTCCTCCCGGCCGCCGCCCGCGTGCCTGTAAGCCCCCAGTGCCAAAGCCCGAAGTAGGGCAGCGGCAGCTAGACCGCCGAGGACCCGACCCCAAGTGTGGCCTGAGAGGCGGGGGGGCCGGAGGGAAGGAGAGAAGCCAGTTGGGTGCTCTGCCCTCTTCCAGGGCTCAGAAGGCCAGGGCCGGGGGTCTTCGTATACACAGAGAGCCATTGCCAACAACAGAAACCTTTTCCCTTTGTCGCCCGCCGCCCATTCCTGCTAATGACCGTAGGCCCTCCAGGCAGGCCTGTTCCCGCTGCTACTGCTCAGGAAGAGAATCTTGTTCCCTGTGCTATGTGTCTTCCCAGTCACCAAGCCGAGACACCCCTGCTAACTCGTAACCAGGAAGCCATGGAGTCAGGCCAGGTGGCCTTAGGTGTCGCCAGACTTCCCCACAGGCCTTTGGGAGGTCCCAGCCTGTTTTTGAGGGCTTTAATTATTACGAAGATCTTGACAGTGCCTTTAACTTGTTTCCTTTACCCACAGTGGCCTGCTGTCTGGAGCTAAATTACATTTAATCCTTTTCTGTAATTCTTCAAATGGTTTAAAAACACCTACCTGGTTTCCCCTCCCTATCCTCTTCCCCTTTTTCTGTGTTGGGCAGCACTTTAAAATCTTCCCATAAAAGTTTCCAGCCCCTCACATTCTCAGTAACACTGGTTGGGGGTGCCTGATTTTAAAGCCTGTAGCCTGAACCCAAATACAATAACCAAAAAAAAAAATGTAGTGTGTTAGATTATAATTGCCATGGAGAAAAATAGGTGATAGGGAATGCTTACATTCCATTGTAGTCCCTCAGCCTTTTCACGTGGACATTCTCTTACATTCATTTTGCCATTAAATGTTTTTATTTATTGTATTGTATTTTTTCCATTACCATTTATCCACCCGATACCCTCTTCCACCTCTACCCCCCTCTCTTCTGCAATCACTGAGTCCATGAGTTCTTTCTGTTTTTTTGTTTTTTTTTTTCCTTTTTTGGTTCAATCCCTTGTCCCCTACCCTACACCTCCCCAGAGCTATTAGCCTGCTCTCTATCTAGGAGCCTGTCTCTATTTTGCTTGTTAGTTGTTGGTTCATTAGATTCCACACATGAACGTAATCATGGTACCTGTGTTTAGCTGACTGGCTCATCCATGCTGTTGCAAAGGGTACAATTTACTTCTTTAAATGTTTAACTCAAATGAAGGATTTTTATTATGGTTATATGTGTTAATCATTGGACTTAAATACACTTCACTAAGCCATCAAAATAGCCATCATCCTCTAAACAAAGGCTTAGAATATCCAGATAGGTTTTCAGAATTAGTAAAATTGTTGGAGATGGGCACTAGAGGACCTATTTTGAGTTTACTAAGATTACATATTTCTTTAGGGACTGCTCATAGACATGAGGTGATGTTCTAGGTGCCTCTTCTTGCCACCCTTTAGTACTGCTATAGTCCTTTTTGAGTAAACTTTAAAAAGTTAATCAATGTGCTTATAATGATTTTTTTAAATGTTAAAAATCATCACACAAATACCTGTAAAAAATCTTCCTAAAAGTCAACACATTTCTCCCACACTTCCTTCCTTTGCTCCATATTTTAACTTTGTTTTTAATCTTTCACTGTGATAATCTTCAGCTATGGTTGTACGCTGAGTCCTGGAATCCCTCTCTAGCAATGCTCAAAGTAGGATGATCTCAGGGACACACCACAAATCAGTTTTTAATGAGTCCTGTTTCTTGTGGATTCTTTATTTATTTACATTTTATTTCTTTCCAAAAAGTCAATATATTTTTCTGGTTTTGCTGTGTGAATTTCACCACATGAAGTCTCACATGTCTGCTGCGTGGTCTGAGTGTTTCCATGGTTCTTGCTCAGGGTGCCTGGCTTTCTTGTGTACTTGGTCACATTCGACTGGGAGCCATTCATTGTCCCTGAAACATTATTTGTGAAAATTAGTTGACGCCTGAGAAGAAGGTATTTTATTTCGAAGAGAATTTATCTTTGTTTCTGTGAGAAGCCTAAGAGCCAACTAGTGTTTGAACAATTTAAGAAAATTCTTTAGCTTATGTTTTTGTTTGGCCAGCTAAGTGATATAAATTTGGCCATAATTTTGGTCAACTTATGGTTATAATTTTTCAAGGATAAACATCTTCTGTTTCTGTTCTGTGCTTCATTTTGCTTTTATTTCAGAATCCTTGTTTCTTGCATTCATGCCTTCCTCTTTAGTTTACTTCATCGTTTTGGTGGATCACAAGGCCCAAGAGTTTCCTGAGAAATGGAAGTAGATATTTTAAAGAACTTACATATCCAAAAAGTTCTACCCTCAAGTTTGATTGCTGGTTTGGATTGTATAGAATTCTAGTTCGGAAATGATTTTTCTTCACAATTTGAAGTCATTATTCTTTTTTCTTTCTTTTTGCTTCCAGTGTTGCTGTTGAGAAATTGAAACCATCCCAAGTCTTTGTCTTTTCATTCTGATTCTTTGTCTTCTGAGCATCGTTACTAGTTAGTTATTTCACCTTGTCCAGGCTTGCCAGCTTTCTCCAGACCTTCTATTTGCCTTTCTCCTCTCTGGTGACACCTCCTTGATCACATCCTTTTACTTTCCCCTTTCTAGATGACAGTGTGAGGGCTTATTAGTCGCTTTAAGCCTGATTTTTCATGGCCTTTGAACATGGAGGGATGGAGTTGTATTGCAATGGCTAGGCTTCTCCCTCCTGCATGAGACTGGGTTGAATATAGGAGAGTTCACTACTCCTTGGGAGACAGAAAGGGGATAGCATTCCCCCTGTTTTGGAGGCAGCTATAAGCATCAGCTCAGTCCCTCAGTTGATGTGTGGAGGGTTCAGACTTCTGATAGTCATGCAGATGGCTAACTTTTCTTTTTTTTTCTTTCAACTCCACTGCAGCCATTTTCACTACTCCTTAGTCAAAAACGGGAAAAGCTAAGAATAAATTATCGCTCCTTTCTCTTTTATCAATATTTGAGTGAGAATTGTCAGGATTTTGTAGACTCACCAGATGTGGTCTCTGGGAGGTGGGAACATGACCTCACCCTGATCCTCTCAAACTTCTGTTTTTTACATGAGCTAGCACTTTCCCAACTTCATCTTATTAAGCCCTTCTCCTTTTCTTGTTTGGTTACTGTTGGTAACTTGTACATTTTTGTTTTCTCCTCCTTTTCTTTTATCTTAGGTAGCATGGAAGGAGGAATCTTTTTTTTTTTTTTTCTAGATAGCGAGGCCTTGATACTCCCTGAATATTTCACCACTTTTATCCAAAATTTAATGTCACACATTTTTATTTTTACCATAGAATACACATTGTACATTGTAAGATTTAGAATGCTAGGTCCTCATTTTATTTCTTTCAAATTAAAAATATGTGAGTTACAAGTGATATATGTTAGAATGCTTTAGATTACAAGTATAAGAATACTTAACTTCAACTATTGACATGATAAAATTTTATTGGTACAAAAAGGAAAAATCTCCAGTTAGGATAGCATCAGATGTATTTTTATATAAATCATTTTAAGTTGAGATAAAAGCAATATAAGACAAAATTCACCACTAGAACTTTTTAAAAATATACTAACTTAATTCTATCTTGTGTTATGCAAGCAAGTTAATTTTGGTAGGCCAGCATCACTGAGTCTCAGTGATGCTCATCACTTGGTTACATCTGTCTGCCCAAATGCCACAGAATGTGATGGGAGGAACAGCTTCTTCTGCAGTCTGGTTTCCTTGCTAGTTCAAGGAACTAGCAAGAAAACCATGATTTAAATGTGACTTTTCACCCACAAATGATGTACTTCCTTCTTTTTCTGTTGTCAGTGAGGTTTTGAACAAGAAAGAAAAAGTTGCTTAAGGCCCTACGATAGCATCTGAACTTCAACCATATGCATCTAAGCCCAGTGGCCAGGGGTTACAAGCCTGGGCTATTGCTTCAATGCTGCTCTTTTCCTGGACCTGTGGCCCTTTTACATACCTCAACAGGTAGCCATGCATTCGCCTAGGTTACTTTTTAGAACTGTAATCAAGTTGGCCTTCAGTACCTGTTGTTTGAACCAAGCATGGATCAAAAATGTTTGGGAAAGAAAACATTGGTGTGGCTCAGTGGATTCAGCACAGGCCTGTGAAGCCAAGGGTTGCCAGTTTAATTCCCAGTTTAGGGCCCATACCTGGGTTGCCAGCCAGGTCCCCAGTAGGGGGTACATAAGAGGCAACCAAACATGGATGTTATTCTCCCTCTCTTTCTTTTTCTCTTCCCCCTCTCTAAAAATAAATAAATAAAATCTTTAAAAAATATATTTGGGAAAACAATCCTAGAAAGTTCCAGAAAGCAAAACTTGAATTTGCCACATCTGAGCACTACACTGAATCCACAGAAATAAAGTGGTTTTGTAGGCATATTTGCATATACCCTATTTTCCTACAATATAAATATAGATTACATGCAATTGACTAACTTAATCATTTTTATTACCGAGTTGTAAGAATTTTTTGCATACTTTAGATACAAATCCATTATTAGATACAGGATTTGCAAATATTTCCTCCTAATTTGAAGGTTGTTTTTTTACTTTCCTGATAGTATCATTTGAAGGACAAACATTTTTAATTTTGATGAAATTATTTTTACTTAGTTTTTGTTTTGTTGATTATGTTTTAGTATTATATATAAGAAATCATTGCCTAGTCCAAGGTCATGAAGATTTGTTCCTGGTTTTCACCATGTGTTTTATAGTTTTGGTTTTTACATTTATGTCTCAGATTCATTTTAAATTCACTTTCATGTATAGTTCAGGACATAGGCCCAACTTCAGTTTTTGGCATGCACATATCCTGACTCAGCACAACAGCAGTTATTGAGGCAACTACACTGATCCTTGCACAGTGCTGAGGTTAAGGGCGCCAACCCTCTTACAGTAAAAATTTTGCATATAACTTTTGACTTTGCAAAAATTTAACTACTTACAGTCTACTTTTGACTGAAAGTCTTATTAGTAACATAAACAATCAATTAATACATATTTGGTGTGTTACATAT